TGCAGGCACGTGAGTTGGGGAAAAGACATGGTCGCCATGTCTGGCAGTGGGCCAGGATATATACAGACCATCATTATTACACCATACGTGCATAACATGATTTATCATGTCCCACAAATGACGAAAAAGCATGGCAGTCTGAGGAAGTTTAGTGGACAAGGGATTTTTATCAATTTATATGAGAAAGTGCATGGAACACGGGAAATTGAATCACCTGCTCTTCCATGACATACGATACAAATGAATACATATTTCCCAAAGTCTTGGTTCTGAAAACTCTGATTATTCAAACAGAAACTTTCTCCCCACAATACAAATACCCTTTTGGTGAATTTGCCTCCTTTCATATATTTTGAGGCGTAGGGACGAAAAATGATGACCTGCGTCGGTATTTTCGCTACGCTACTATGGCCTACTTTTACACACTTGTGATACCTTGTACTACGCTACTTCCCTACTACGGCCAGGTTGTAAAGGAAATCTTGACTACCGTTTTTTTATGGTAATTGTAGTCATACAGTTTACTACGCTACTACGCTAATACAGCCGACTTGTACTTAAGATTTACTTCGGCTTATATAGTAAGACTTGTGATACCGTGTACTACGCTACTACGGCCTAGTTGTAAAGAATATTGACTTCTGTTTTTTAGATGGCAATAGTCGTCATACAGTGTGCTACGCTACTACGCTAGTACAGCCTCCTTGTACTTAAGATTTACTTCGGTTTATACAGTAAGACTTGATACCGTGTACTACGCTACTACGGCCTACCTGTAAAGAATATTGACTTTGTTTTTTGTATTGTAAGACTTGTCAACACTACTACGCTAGTACGGTCTACTTGTAGTTAAGATTTACTTCGGTTAACGTTTATAAAGTAAGACTTGTGATACCGTCTACTACGCTACTACGCTACTACAGCCTACTTGTACTGAAGATTTCCCCGGTTTATAACTATAGTAAGACTTGTCATACAGTGTACTACGCTACCACGCTACTACGGCCTAGTTGTACTTGAGATTTACTCATGAACTAGATGTTAGTGAAAAGCTATTATAACTGTTATCTTTTAGTAACAAAACTTTCTTTGTTTTTGGACAATAATTGGACAAAAACAGTATCTGTTGAGGAAAGTCTTACAAGAAAGAATAGATAAAAAGGCTACTAGCTAAGTTTACTGTAATGAGAATTCGAAGTATAAAAGACAAAGCAAACAGTAGTTGCAAATGCATATCAGTGTTCATAAATTCTCTTCATTTAACGCAATAGTTTGTTACGTACTGACTGTACTGCAAAGAAAGATCACGCCACTACGCGTAGTACGGATATTTTTTCAAATTGTTGCTCGTATTTCTCGCCGGGTATTGTTTTGGCAACGCACCGCGAGGTGGCCTGAAGCCAAAGTAATGACGAAATTTTTTCCCATCTGACAACCAGTCAGATGCCTCCGTCCTTGGTTGTGACTTATAAAAAATGATTTTCTTTTTGCAGGCTATGGTAACATTGTCCCAATAACAGTTTAAGAGCGTCTGTTTTGCGTGCTATACGCACTTATCGGAATCTCTGGAACATGCTTGACTCGTAAATCTATCGGAGATAAAAAAACGGAACTATTTCCAAAATTAATTACAAACAGATTACTTTGAGAAACGCGTTTTGAAAAGATCACATCTGACTCAAAAAGTGGAGCTAAAAGTTACGTTGACAACGATTGTGGTAACTGTGGTTTGTCTACTACTATTAATGGCTCTCTTGAATGGTTTACGTGAGACACGAGGAATGGTCATATATCAAGTCGTTTCAATTTACTTTCACGACTTTGAGAACAATTGGTTTTGGTGATTACCTTCCGCAATTTAAAAACAACGCTGATTACTCACTTGTTCTTCTGGCGTTTGCTTGAGCAGTAAGGGGTTAGTACTACGCGTTATGCCGTAACTGTGCGAGAAGAACGCAAAGAAGTGTTCAGAAGAAAAATCAAGTAATAACAATGAACAATTACCCTGTAAGGGAAACGAAATAATGACGGAAAGTTATAATGACTGCAAAAAAAAGGCGATTTGAATAACAGTCTTCTAAAGACAGGCGACAGTACCAACCAGGACGATGTGCCAATTTCAAATTCTGGAAGAAACAGTTTTGCGGAAGAAACAACTATGAAAAGCAAACAGCGTGAAAGCTCAATTACTCCTTATAATATCTACTTACTAAATAGGATTGATTACTGGGTTCTGGAAGCTTTGACCAGGCTGTCGAAGTTTTTTCCGGGTTGTTCAGCATCGCTTTTAGTAGATTTTGTTGCACGGTATTAATGATAACTCGATGGAAGGTGGATTACCGAAATCTGGGTTCGAAACACAAGTATGAAAAAAAAAACGTGGTCTAACAAAATTAAGTAGAGCAAAAAGGAGTAGAAACAAAAATAAATGGTCACCTCACGCACTGTTTGCAGCTCAGTACATTCTTTCGTGGAGTAAAACTTCTGTTCTTGATCTGCAGATAATTTCAGGTGTCTAAAAAATCCTCTTGGGAATTTGTCGGAGAGTTGTCTAATACTACATGTGTATTAAATTGTGAAAAACAGGGACACGGGAAAAAGTGAGGGGTTCAGAAAGGATGCAAAAGAGGGACGATGGCGCTCTTTCCCCGTGCGCGCGTTCTCTCCTCTCTCGCACGCTTATCTCGCGCGTTATCCTTCTTATGGGCCTGTAATGCAGGCTAGAAATGGGTGGGGTAGGGAAAGCACTCTCTTATTGATTTTAAGCCTGTTAAGTGTGTGCGGTATTAGAGGGAGTATGTTTTGAGGCTATGTTGTTCTTGCGTGTAGCTTTAATTTATTGATCGTGTTTTGAAGTAGGTTAATAAACGGTTTGGTCTGAAGTTGGGTAGGAATTCTAGGGCCTGTTTACATAAAGGTGGGGGACCCCAGTTAAGTGAGGTAACTCGCTTAGGTGGGGTAACCCCCCACGTTTGCATGATAGGTGGGGTGACCCGCCAAGGCCGGTATCCCGGTCTACCAGACTGGGTTACCCTCTCAGCCGGGGTCAAATTTTGCCATGTAAACGTTTCAAGGTGGGGTAACCCGCCTAGCCGGGGTCGGATTAGTGATACATCAAATTAGCGCAAAATTCACTTTGTCGGTGGCTTTGCATCACTATTAAAGTTAACAATAGAAAGCCATTGCACCGAAGGTTGAAGAGCAACAAGTGATTGTAGAAGTGAATTAATCGCCAAAACACGTGGTTTCCCAGCATTTGTCTTGTTTACGTGTTTAGTGACCATTCAATAATCTTGAGAATGGGCACCCCGGGATCGCATGATTGCATGTAAAGAGAGTTATTTTTTTACCCCACCTAAGCGGGTTACCTCACCTACCTGGGGTCCCCCACCTCCATGTAAACAGGCCCTTACAAAACGCTCCTTTTACTTTTCATTTCCTTCTTGAGAAATCCGTATAATTTAAGCCATTGTAAGGGTAATGTTAATGCAAACCCACAGCTGCTTTTGGAAACTTGGAACTTGTATAAGTGTCCCTACCGTTGTGTGGACTGAAATAGATGGGGTATCAAAGATTGGTTCCGAACAAAAATAGGGTGGAAAAAAAACTTTAAGGCAAAATAAGGTAAGGTAGGCTACAAACTTGCCGCTCACCCCCGCCACTTAATATACGTAACTGCATAAATAAACAAATAATGTGCATAAAGTCGGACACGAGCCAAGGAGTAGGGAAGACGAAAAATTTTCCCAAGCGGAGAGGAGAAGGGGCTGCTAATGACTTGAAGTGGGGAGGCTAAGGAGTGCGGGGGGAGGTGGCTAAAGCCTTTTTCTTTTAGCCTCCCGGGCTCCGCCGTCCCTGACGAAGCCCACACAGCAGGAGGTTAACGAGCTTTTTGCAGCATTAAGCATATTCCCCCCTGGATAGGATGCTAGTTCAAATAGTGCATCGCAGTGTTACTAGCCCCTCCCCCCACCACCTATTCCAGCAATATGTCACCAGTACCTATTTATTCACCTGAGCGAAGAAAGGTAATGTAAGGATCAAAGGCAACTACAATAATCAGTATAATATTAATAATTTATTACAGTGTGTTTCGAAATAGTTGCTGCCCTAAGTACATTAAATTGATTATAATTAGAATAATATTAATGAAAATGTACATAAGCTCTAGCTTTAAGAAAGTATATTATAGAAACTCTGTCTAGGAAAAAATATCAAGATAATGTCAATCAAGACACCAGGCATTGCTTGAATATTGACCTCCGATTTCATAAAATTACGCGAGTCACGCGATACACGTCACCGGCTGCAAAACAAGTTTGGTTTGGGCCAGTAAAATGCGCGACATGTACAGATTTTCTTGCAAAAGAAGAACACCTTTCTGCAACAACACTACTTGTTTTTGTAACGACGTTTTGTTTACCTTGAAAAAAATTATGGAGCCTAGAAATTTAATTGCTGATGGAATTTGCACCAAGGAATGTGGCCAATTCAGCAGAAATGATACATGCCATCATTTAGAATTTGCCGCTTCTTTTAGTTGCAATATAAGAGATCCGATTCTTGACAATGGTGCCTTTTCAAAGCCCAGTTTTTCTTCAGGAGAAGAAGGAACAGAGCGAATGTTGACACTACAAATGCTAAAATACGCCAGGAGAAATTAAAAACAAAAGATATTCAAAATGGGGGAGGGAATGGGGAGGGTACAGGGTGCATAAAAGGTGTGTTATTGGAGATGCGTCATTGATTGAATTTGTCGGAAGATATCCATACTGCCAATATCGGATATTCGGTAGGGAGGGGTATTATGGGGTTGGGGAGCGGAGCGGAGCGGGAGCGGAGCGCTTATTTGAATGGGGTGCTTTTAAATCGCTCAAAAACTTGTTTTTTTAAAAACTAACCCTATAAACAAATGAATGACTTGCAAAGATCCCAAAGTAAGGTATAATTATTAGGTCTGATGGAATAGGTAGAAGTTACCCAGTGTATTGGTGCTATTTTTACACAATGCAACATTTGTTACGAGTTTGATTAAGTTCTCTTTGTTTCCTTTTAACGAATCCTAACTTGTTGAAAGTTCTATTCACAGCAGCATGCTCCTCGCCATACAACGTTTTATAAATGTTCAGAGCCTTTTCATAGCATTCTTCAGAAACAGGGTACTGTTTAACGCTACAATAGGAATTGCCAAGGTTGAAATAACTTTGCGCTACAGAGGGGTGATCCTCGCCGTAAATAATTTTTTTAATGGCAAGAGACTTCTTATGGTATTCTTTAGCCTGATTGTACTGACCAAGGGCACTGTAAACAGTTCCCAGGTTGTTGTAACTTGCCGCTACGTCACCATGGTGTTCACCATAAATCTCTTTACTGATGGCAAGAGACTTCTTATAGTATTCTTTAGCCTGAGTGTACTGACCAAAAGCACTGTAAAAAGTTCCCAGGTTGTTGTAACTTCCCGCTACGTCACCGTGGTGTTCACCATAAATCTCTTTTGTAATGGCAAGAGACTTCTCATGGTATTCTTTAGCCTGATTGTATAGACCAAGGTGACTGTAAACAGTTCCCAGATTGTTGTAGTTTGTCGCTACGTCACCATGGTGCTGACCATAAATCTCGTTTAGAATGGCAAGAGACTTCTTATGGTATTCTTTAGCCTGATTGTACTGACCAAGAGCACAGTAAACAGTTCCAAGGTTGTTGTAAATTCTCGCTACGTCACCATGGTGTTCACCATAAATCTCTTTTCTAATGGCAAGAGACTTCACATAGTATTCTTTAGCCTGATTGTATAGACCAAGGTGACTGTAAACAGTTCCCAGATTGTTGTAACTTGTCGCTACGTCACCATGGTGCTCACCATAAATTTTTTTTGTAATGGCAAGAGACTTCTTATGGTATTCTTTAGCCTGACTGTACTGACCAAGCTTGCTGTAAACAGTTCCCAGGTTGTCGTAACTTGTCGCTACGGCACCATGGTGTTCACCATAAATCTCTTTTTTAATGGCAAGAGAATTCTCATAGTATTCTTTAGCCTGATTGTACTGACCAAGGGCATTGTAAACATTTCCCAGGTTGTTGTAAGTCTTCGCTACGTCACCGTGGTGTTCACCATAAATCTCTTTTGTAATGGCAAGAGACTTCTCATAGTATTCTTTAGCCTGACTGTACTGACCAAGAGCACTGTAAACATTTCCCAGATTGTTGTAACTTCCCGCTACGTCACAATGGTGTTCACCATAAATCTCTTTTCTAATGGCAAGAGACTTCTCATAGGATACTTTAGCCTGATTGTACTGACCAAGTTGACCGTAAACAGTTCCCAGGTTGTGGTAACTTGTCGCTACGTCACCATGGTGTTTACCATAAATCTCTTTCCTAATAGCAAGAGACTTTTCATGGTATTCTTTAGCCTGATTGTACTGACCAAGGGCACTGTAAACATTTCCCAGCTTGTTGTAACTTGTCGCTACGTCACCATGGTGTTCACCATAAATCTCTTTTGTAATGGCAAGAGACTTCTTATGGTATTCTTTAGCCTGATTGTACTGACCAAGGGCACTGTAAACATTTCCCAGATTGTTGTAACTTCCCGCTACGTCACCATGGTGTTCACCATAAATCTCTTTTCTAATGGCAAGAGACTTCTCATAGGATACTTTAGCCTGATTGTACTGACCAAGGTCACTGTAAACAGTTCCCAGGTTGATGTAACTTGTCGCTACGTCACCATGGTGCTCACCATAAATCTCTTTTAGAATGGCAAGAGACTTCTCATAGTATTCTTTAGCCTGATTGTACTGACGAAGGTCACTGTAAACATTTCCCAGGGTGCTGTAACTCTGCGCTACGTCACCATGGTGTTCACCATAAATCGCTTTTGTAATGGCAAGAGACTTCTCATGGTATTCTTTAGCCTGATTGTAAAGACCAAGGTGACTGTAAACAGTTCCCAGGTTGTTGTAACTTGTCGCTACGTCACCATGGTGTTTACCATAAATGTCTTTTCTAATAGCAAGAGACTTTTCATGATATTCTTTAGCCTGATTGTACTGACCAAGGGCACTGTAAACATTTCCCAGGTTGTTGTAACTTTCCGCTACGTCACCATGGAGTTCACCATAAAACTCTCTTCTAATGGCAAGAGACTTCTTATAGGATACTTTAGCCTGATTGTACTGACCAAGGTCACTGTAAACAGTTCCCAGGTTGTTGTAACTTGTCGCTACGTCACCATGGTGCTCACCATAAATCTCTTTTAGAATGGCAAGAGACTTCTCATAGTATTCTTTAGCCTGATTGTACTGACGAAGGTCACTGTAAACATTTCCCAGGGTGCTGTAACTCTGCGCTACGTCACCATGGTGTTCACCATAAATCGCTTTTGTAATGGCAAGAGACTTCTCATGGTATTCTTTAGCCTGATTGTAAAGACCAAGGTGACTGTAAACAGTTCCCAGGTTGTTGTAACTTGTCGCTACGTCACCATGGTGTTTACCATAAATGTCTTTTCTAATAGCAAGAGACTTTTCATGATATTCTTTAGCCTGATTGTACTGACCAAGGGCACTGTAAACATTTCCCAGGTTGTTGTAACTTTCCGCTACGTCACCATGGAGTTCACCATAAAACTCTCTTCTAATGGCAAGAGACTTCTTATAGGATACTTTAGCCTGATTGTACTGACCAAGGTCACTGTAAACAGTTCCCAGGCTGTTGTAACTTGTCGCTACGACACCATGGTGCTCACCATAAATCTCTTTTAGAATGGCAAGAGACTTCTCATAGTATTCTTTAGCCTGATTGTACTGACGAAGGTCACTGTAAACATTTCCCAGGTTGTTGTAAGTATGCGCTACTTCACCATGGTGTTCACCATAAATCTCTTTTGTAATTTGCAAGAGACTTCTCATGGTATTCTTTAGCTTGATTGTACTGACCAAGAGCACTGTAAACAGTTCCCAGGTTGTTGTAACTTGTCGCTACGGCACTATGGTGTTCAGCATAAGTCTCTTTTCTAATGGCAAGAGACTTCTCATGGTATTCTTTAGCCTGATTGTACTGACCAAGTGTACTGTGAACAGTTCCCAGGTTGTTGTAACTTGTCGCTACGTCTGGTCACCATGGTGTTCACCATAAATCTCTTTTTTAATGGCAAGAGACTTCTTATGGTATTCTTTAGCATGATTGTAGTGACCAAGGGCACTGTGAACAGTTCCCAGGTTGTTGTAACTTGTCGCTACGGCACCATGGTGTTCACCAAAAATCTCTTTTTTAATGGCAAGAGACTTCTCATAGTATTCTTTAGCCTGATTATACTGACCAAGGGCATTGTAAACATTTCCCAGGTTGTTGTAACTTGCCGCTACGTCACCATGGTGTTCACCATAAATCTCTTTACTGATGGCAAGAGACTTCTCATAATATTCTTTAGCCTGATTGTACTGACCAAGGGCATTGTAAACAGTTCCCAGGTTGTTGTAACTTGTCGCTACGTCACCATGGTGTTCACCATAAACCTCTTTTGTAATAGCAAGAGACTTTTCATAGTATTCTTTGGACTGATTGTACTGACCAAGCTTGCTGTAAACAGTTCCCAGGTTGTTGTAACTTGTCGCTACGTCACCATGGTGTTCACCATAAATCTCTTTTGTAATGGCAAGAGACTTCTCAAAGTATTCTTTAGCTTGGTTGTTCTGGTCAAGATCCTTGCAAACAAGGCCTTGCACTCGAAAATAATTCGCCTTTTCCAGCTTATCTTTTAGCTCGTCATCAAGATAATTTACAAACTCGGAGCATAATGTACAAAAGAGGCGAGCGTCCGATATATTACTCAAGTCGCGACTGACTTCAGCAGTCAAGGAAAGCCAGGATATTAAATTTCTAGGAGCTATGGAGGCGAATAATTCATTATTTGTTAATTCTGTGTCGGTGAAATTAGTCTTGAAATGTTGATATAACTGTTTACAATGACTGGTAGTTAGTCTTAACTTCATGCACGTACTCTCACTTGCAAGTAGTAGCTTCTTGTTGTCTTCAATTAATGAACTGAAAATCTTAACAGCGACAGAAAAGAACTCAGCTTTATGTGTGCGGTTCAGGACTGATGTTACAGAGGACTTGAGCACTTCATGAACAACGTTATGTACTCTTAAGTAAGTGGGTGTGCCGTGAACATCATACAAGCAAGTTATCATGGTGGATTCCAGAATTTTAGCCCGGATAAATTCTTCTTTTTGTTGTTTGTTACGAAATTTAACAAAGTCAACTGCAGCCTCAATAGGTAGAGAATCAGATGTGCACAGCGAAAACAAACAAAATACTTCACAAAGAACTTTGTCGCTTTCCAAAGCTCGAGTTATTGCTATTCTGATTGCAGTAGCCGTGGTTTTGGGATATGCTCTGTTTTTTTTCGCGAAAAGCTCTTCTCTGGTTTCGCGTTCCTCGCTATTCAATGTTTCCAGGTATTTTGTCCAACCGTAATTAGGGGTACCATAGCTGACAATTGTTTGCACGTAGACTGCAGCAGCTGCCAAGGCAAGTGGCTGATACTCGAGAACTTTAGCAACCTCCTCAGCTTGTTGTTGATTCGCAATTTTGGACACTTCTCTTAAAAGGTCTACTGCATCATCTGGGTGCATTCCTTTACTGAGAGACTCATGGTAAGTATGAGGAGAATTTAAGGGTATTGACTGAGTATCTTGAGTAGTTACTAGCATCTGACCATGACCCCACTCTTCACTGGCGGTTGGAGGCAGATAACTACGAACCACGGATAGGTCAACAACATTATCTACAATAATCAGCCAGACAGAAAATTGTTTCACCTTTGGAGAAATAAAACGCATCAAATGTTGAATTTTTTCACTTGAGTCGACCTTCGTGGAGGTTGCTAGGTTGGTCAGAGCGTATTCCATGACTCCCAGTTGTTTAGCTAGATTGAAATAGGAGTCGGCAAGTGAGTCAAGGGTTTCTGCATTCAGAGTTGAAACAAATGTTAGACCTTCGTCTTCTCGCAAACTTTTGTCATAGACTTCCTGTCCCACTTGACGAGCGAATTGACTTTTGCCACAGCCCGGAATTCCTGATAAATAAATGGTGCTGATAGCTCCTTTGCTTTCATTATAAAGTTCCTCCAGCTTGTTCTTGATTCTTGTGACATCGTTAGAACGTCTGATGATTTGGTGTGATGGCTTGAATGTAAGACTACAGAAAGACTCGACTTTGGAATTGATTTCCTGAGTGAGGGTTTCTACTTCTTCCTGCTTGGTCTGTAATGCGTCTTGGGCCAATTGTAAGTCGGAGTTTAGATTTTTAACTTCTTCATTTTTCGCTTTTAAATCAGCTTTAAGTCCATCAGTCTTAAGCTTTAAGCTTTTTACTTCTGCTGTGGGAAAGCTGCTCTGGTTTTTCACATCCTCGATTTCATCAGTTGAGAGTTTCAAAGACGTAAATGCAGCTATCACTCTTGCTACATAATTTTTGAATCCAACATCTGTAAGTTCAACCTCGTTTATGTGAGCGATGTCGTTTCGCACCTCTCGAAGATCGTCGACCTCTTTTCTGATTGTCGAACTAGAGTGGTGCCAATACTATCCGAGAACAATAGCGCAAAAAGTAGACAACTGCAGTCCCACTCTGCTGTGTTTCCGTTTTGTATTGTCGCAAAATATCGAGCATTCTTTTTGCGACTTTTCCCCGTTTCGTTGTTGTAGAAATCGCTGCCATTTTGTGGAATGTCTTTCCATTCCCCAAATGGGGTTGTCATGTAAAGGAAATTCCACTCTTGTTTGAAGACTTTCCGAAGTCCTTCGGGGACCAAGTTGAAGGCGATATAACATATTCTGAAATAGTTTAACTGTTGAGGAGTATATTCCATTTTGAATTGGGATCTAGTAAAAAGATTAGCGAAAGAATAAAATCAGACTAAAAACCGCTAACCACTCCAAAGAAATCCTACCGCGCCTTACTCATTGACTGATTTTTGGCCTTCGTCATGCATGAAACAAAAGGGTGGAGCAGAATATAAGCGACAAAAATTTACTTACGCTTTTTTAGCCTATAGCTCCGTGAATTTGTAGAAATGAGTTTCTTGGCCTGTTAGCCTGTGGGAAAGAATAGTGAAAGCCTTTTAGATTGAAAATCTGAAGGGCAAACGCGCTTCAATGTTAAGTTTACCTTGCCCCCGCCCAATCCCCCGATGTTAATGCCCATTAATCTAATTCATTTGTAGCTTGGGTGGTAGCGGTCACACTCCGGATACCCTGCGAGCAGAGGCTAGATTTTCGCGGTATGAGGTGGCGTGCGAAAGGTAGCCTCTGCCAACAACTGTTCAAATCCGTCCAGAGACCTGGACGAATAAATTTACTAACGGGTTTTTACCTGTTCTCGACTGGTTTAGAACATTGTGTGAGTCTTGTCTTGCGTCAGCGAATGAACGCTGACCATTACTGCGCCTTCATGCATCGCTTCCTATATACACGCTTTTGATAAGTCTGGGCGCCATCTTGAATTTTCAATTTATGACGTCATTCGCTGAGAGATTTCAGCCGCCGTCTTTGAGTTTTGACTCGCGTGACAGTACCATGCCAGGACGAGAGACAAAGTCAGGCCATTATGAATCGCTTTATTTCATTCTTTTCCTGTATAAACATTAACAAATACCAGAAAATCCTTTTCCCAGGCTAAAGTAATCGCAGTTGTGCGGTTCGTCTTTGCAAGTCATACGGCGATATCATGTTCGATAACAAACGCAACACTAAGAAATGTGACATAAGATTTCAAGCGATCAGCATGTATTAAAAGGGAGGAGTACTCGACCGTAAAGGTGTGTAACTTAGTCTTTTTGTGTGTGGGTTCTAATTCGTACCGCTATATTCATCTCTCAAATATTGCTTTTTTCCTAGTAGCTGAAACATACAATCGTCTGTCCTTTCATTTGGGGGATGATGACTTCGGAAGTATTGTATTGTATTGTCTTTAATAGTGGTCGGTAGCTTTTAAAAACGTGCAGCCTCCCCTCGATTGGTGTTTAAATGCCCTGCACACAACTGACAAGCCATACCTTATCCCTAAGATCCAAAATAAGATAAATTTGAACAGGAATCTGGTAAACACCACAGGAGTGAGGTGTGTGTTGAGCCAAATGATGCTGAGCGACACAGCTTACACGAATCCGACGATGAAATTTCTGAACTAGAATCTGAAATTTTAGCACTAAAGGTAGAAGGTAGAAAACTGCTAAATATCAAGTGAAATGTAACCAGTCTCTTTTTGAAAAATATTGAAGACAGTACCACTTTAATCCTGCCCAACCCAAATGACCCTGAAAAAGGCGGACCCTTTTGAGCTCAGGTTTACCATTAACTATGCGACAATAAAACCTTGGATCAGAACATGCCCTCTCAGGTGTCAAGTTTCATGATGTAAAAGGGCATTTGATTTCTATTAAACCATAACTTGATATCCCTATTATCTATCACCCTTCTTTTTGGTAAAGCAGCCCACCATGACATTGTGCTTGATATGACAACCCCACACTCTAAGCCCTAAATATGAATATATATGTACATATTATAAATATAAATGCTAAACCAATACGTTTCATGTACTCAGCTTATTTAGTTGCTGCTTAAGACCAATTTGCCATTCAATATTATTAGAAACATCATTCTGTGACACGAGAGTATTTTGAACAAACCTTGTTTGCAGTGAGAGATGTTGAGTTTCCATTTGCAAACAAGTGCAAATTACAGCTAGTTGACTTGAACCTTTTACTTTGAAACCAAAACGTATCTTTGCTGTGACCTTTTGATTCTCAGTTAAGGATGGATTAGGAATTTTTAAACAACTTATAAATTGGTCCTCCTGAAAAAAGGGGCATTTGCAATCCCACTCAAGCTGGTGTGTCAGTGTCAATTGGGAATTCAGGAAAGGAACCATGAACAGCTCTAGGTCTTGGCAAATTGGAATGGTTGTCATAACACTGAAGTCTGCCTCCATGAGAGAGAGATGTTTAACTCACTACCTGTGGAACCTTGTGTTCAGTTGATTTAGTTGAAACTATTGCAGGACAGTTAATTGTCTTAAGTGAATGAAAGAACTCATTTGCCCTTTCTTTATTTTGGACAGTATATTGCCTGGCTGCATACAAGGGACACCTTAAAGCCCTCATTTCTCGCTGAGCATTTCTCCCTGTAATAAGGATTGACGACATTATATGCTTTGTATGCATTATATGAATTAGGGTTCGTACCCTAGGTCCTTGGTTTGTGCTACTGTTTTGAGTTGTGCACATTCCAGTTCTTGGGAATTCAGTGAATTCAAACACTTATATAATAAAAACTTATGATTACAGTAACCATTTCCTCCTGCTGTACAAGAGCATTTATCAAAACTGTTAACATTGTGAAGCCTTTCATTCTTCCTCAGTAATTTAAAGCATTCCCCTCTGCATGAATTTATTGTCCATATAATCCTACAATAATCGTCGTGACAGTAATTTTCAAATACAAATTTGTATCCCTTTTCGAGGGTGCTTTTTGATTTTTTCGTTGCTTGTTCAACAATGTAAATGTAAGCAAAGTGCTTTGGAAGAATTGATGCATCCCTGCTCCAGCTCTCTTTAGTGGCTAGATCTACATCATCTACATCTCTCATCATCTAGGCTACATCTCTAACCAGGATTCGAGCTGACAGCTTTCTGGATTACTGAGCTACTCCTTCCCAGAGTGAAAAATTATTCGGTGCAAGGGTCGACTGGAGTATAAACGTTTTTATGCTATTTCTTTCTTACCTTAAAACCTTTACATAATAACATAAAAAACTGATGATGAAAAGCATAAACTTTTTATCGGAATAGAATTATCGTACATTTTGAAAGGATCAGAATAGCAAAAACATGAAAAATCCTTTCAATTAGCTTTTATAAATACCTGATAGATAATCTAAGTCTCCTACCAGCGGTAATAATTAATCGTTTTCAGCTTTTTAAATAAAGGCCCGCATAAAAAATGAAAAAAGTATCAAAACCATTGCTAAAAAAGATTACCTGGGAAGAAGTTAAGCTCGTGTCTGTCGACGTAAGCCACGACGATTAAGCCAAAACTTTAATTCGCATTTTTTTTTTTACATTTAAATCAGCTCTCGTTTGTCGTCGATGTCATCGATCCAGGAATATCTTTGCACGAAAGCTTTAAAGCAACGATAACATACCCATAAAGACATTGTATAAAGAAAATAATTCTCTTGATATAAAGTAAAAACATTCCTTTTTATATGAACACACTGCAAAATCAACGTCAACAGAGATTTCATCTTTGGTAGCCATTTTGGCCACGTGTGTGATCTTTCCGCGAATGACGTCAATCATTGGAAATTCAAAATGGCGCCCAGACTTATTAAAGGCGTGTATACTGATGAGATTGTATCCCTGTTTATGTAAAGAGCGTTGCCAACTTAAATACCGTAAATCCTCTATTAAGCCCCCCCCGGGGGGGGGGCTATTTATTTTAAACGATTTGAGCGGGTTTTAATAGAGACGGGGGGGCTTATTTGAGAGGGGGAGCTTATTTAATTTAGCAAAGACGACGGTATCAGTTCTCCATAAAGAACTAGAATAAAAAGTGGAAAAGCTCAAGTACAAGAAGTTGGAGATCATTTAGCCAAGGATCAAAAACAAATCCGAACTTCCAGTTGGTGAATAAACCATCCCGGATCAGTCCTCACGACGGTTTCCAGTCGTGAATGATTAATATAGTCTATCATTTATTACTGAAGAATAATCAGGGGAGGGGGGCTTAAAAGAGAGGCCGGGATTATTAACTTTTTCCCTTGACAAAGGGGAGCTTATGTGAGAGGGGCGGGGGGCTGAATAGAGGATTTACGGTAAGATCTGTAATTGAAAGCTGTCGGAATACTAAACAAGCTGCTGCCGGTGCTTCTTACTTGACAGGTAAATCGTTAATTTATCAGATGGTAGTTCTTGTCTTCTAGGAAAAGAACTTAAAATGGTTTACTGCGATGATTTTTGTTGTGTCTCCTCTCAATGCAAAGTTAAATGCACTGTTTTAGTGTACAGATGGAAACGGAAAGTTCAAAAGAATCATTGATCAGTTTCTTTTAGTAGAAGGAGAAGAAAAGAAGCTTTTAGTGGAGAAATTTGCCCTCAAGTACTTCAATCTTGTTGGTTTCTTCACGGTGGAGAGCTTTTCCTGTTCTGGAAAGAAACCACAGCTAAAACCAAAACAGCAAAGTTTTAAAAGAATTTTCAGGCACATTTAAGAAATTTATGTATTTATAGTCGTGTCAGTGATAGATGTTTTTTACATTTGACTTCCAATTGCAAACTGCGCCGGCCGCTCTTACCTTCGTGAAAGTATCCACGATCCAGCTAGTGTTACGTGAATTGTTTTTAAGGATAAATTATGGGTTTTGTTTCGTCTTTGTTTGTTCATAAAATTAGTTTAAAACACAGTCGTGAGACTGCAGCATTCAATTTATTTCAAGCATCACTTCTGAGTAGGGTGGTCGGCGAATTTCATTTTTT